AACCTTTCAATTTCACCCCCCCTCCCCCGTGGCAAAACACAGGCTTTCGTATGAACCGTTCAATTTACCCCCCCTCCCCCCAAATTGATACTATCAATAATACGCTCGTTTCTGGCCCTGGACTGCCTCCCTGCTAAAAGCAAGACTAAACTCAAGCTCTGCTACGCGAGCTTTCGTGACAACCCAACATTCGGGCAGCACGGCGCTAGAACTCAGCTGTCATCACGTGTGTGATCCGACTGTCTCGGCACCCGCATCGCAAGCCACAGCAAGCAGGGCAGCGGTCCGGGATGAATCGGGTTCAACAGTTCAGCAAGCGCGGGAGGCAGGAACACAGGCTTCTCACATTGACATGGCGGAGCTTGGCACTGGCCTGCAAAAACGACGGTCTGGCATCGCTGGGAGGTGCCGGGTGGGACAAGCAGAGTCTAGAAGGGCATGAAGTTGGCTTTACCAGGCGCCGAGTGCAGAAGTTAGTTGAGTAGTCAGTTGAAGCGACGTGCCCTTGGAGTACCTAAGCTCGCTGCTCCAATAGACTCAAGTTCTCTCGGAGGCGAACATCCCGAACGACCTTGTGCCGTGGTGTCTTGTGGAGGCTCTCTCCAATCCTCTCTATAAGACATAAGACACAACACCGATTTGCACTGAGTTCGTGGCCACCGGCTCTTTGCACATCACCAGCGGGGCAGGCTGGGCTCTCGGTTGGACAATCTGCTTCAGCTCATCCACACCTGTGAGCTTGAACCTATGAACCCCTGCAGTGTCTTAGGCTCTTCCGAGGCAGATGCTGAAATAGTCCGCGAGTAGCGTGATGGGTCTCTCAGATCTCAGTCAGCCCGGGGATGTCCAGGTGATGAACGCATTATTGCATGCTCCGAGTGTGGAACAGTGGACCCACATCCCCGGAGGAATCCAACCTGTGGCACTTGAGCAGAAGCTCTACTTACTCCCTAAGCTCTGACGAGTCTGGGGAGCGTTCTGCATCGGGCCAGGGGAGCGGAAGACGTTGCAGTTGACCTCACTTGTTGAGTGGAAAGCCCTTGCCTCTCCTGCACAAACGGAAACCCGTCGGGCTGTCACCCACTCATCACGGAAGAACTTGTAAACCTGTCTCAGCTCATGGAACTGATCTCAGGTGTAACCTGTTTTCACATTGGGCTCGTGGCCTCTTTCAGGTGCGGTTTTACGTACTTGCCGGTCTTGGGGATCGGGGTGTTCGGACCTCGAACACACGGGCTTTGTGCTTGCAAGAGCGAGCTGTCTTAGTCGCAAAGACGTGCGAGGAACCGAGCTGCGGACAGGAGGCACGCTTTGCATTTGCCCCCTGCGAAATGGGTACGCAAGTTCGCCAAAGGAAGCCAAATGTGTCAAGGTGATAGGTAATTGCTTGGCTGTGGAACTTCAGTAGGCAAGTAGGAAAGAATGCCGATCTTTTCCTATCACGCCGCAGGATCAAAGACAAGGCAGACCTCAGCGAAGGGTATGCAGCTGTTGCACCAGCCGCTTCCAAGTTCGCTTGGAGATAGACTTGCATTCATCGCGAGCACCAGGCAGTGCTGTCATGGCCACATCTGCAAGTATCGGCTGTAGCTTTCCTGTGCAACATGTCGGAGAAGCATGCGCCTCCGATGATCCGATATGTCAAAGTCCTCTCGGCTGGTTGGCGTCGCAGGCTGCCTCAGCGGCTTCACGTCGCCCGAGCATCACGCTGTCTGCCTGAGTCAGTGACGGCCACCGTGGCAAGAAGAGTGGCCTGAGCGAGGCGGACTTGGCTGTGCCCACAGCGCGTTTTTCGTCCGTCGGGCGTGCGTCCTCTTGAATTCTGTCTTCGCGGACTTTGCAGAGGATATCCAAAGCTGCCTGAACTCCCAGTGAAACATGTATTCGTACGGCTGTTTTTCATCTGCCACGCCTTCCATGGAATGCCCGAGACTTGAACAACCTCAGTACCGGGCAGGTGGCCTCAAGCGAGCCCGAAACGCACGTGGCGTGGCTACCAGAGCTCCTCGCGGAACACCATGCCTGAAAGCGGCACTCTAGCACTACCCAGTTGCCCTACGTTTGCTCAACGTTGCCCGGGCTGGGGCCTGGCTGGACTTCAAGTTACTCCTCGAGCCCCAGCTCCGATCGCCCAGGAAGGAGTCCAGCAGCGCTTTGCTTTCACGCCAGCGGCCTGCCAGGTGAAACGCTCCAGACCATGCGGCTATGCGAAGTTGGGCCTGACGTGGAACGGCTTTGCACACACGATCCACAAGTTACCTCGATTCGGGGGCGTGAGGAAGCTCTCAGGAATAATTTTCTCAACTGCCTAGGTGGTGACATGTGGTGACGTCATGTAACGATACATGACGACGTGCGTGCTTCCTCATACTTGCCAATGCACATGCGCGAGCTTTCCCAACCACACACACACACACACACAGGTCGAAACACATGAAACACGGTGTACTATTCGAGATGACCGGTTCCTACTCATGCACTCAGGAGGAGCACCAAACCAGGAGGCACTGAATCAGGCCAACATGCAACACGAAACACATTGAACATTCCGTACTCAAGCTGCTAATTGAAGAATTGCTGGCTGTCATGCCATGACACCCATAACACACAATAGTCACTCGTCACACAATGCTCATTATTACCCCGCAGCTCCCTCGACGCGACCCAGGAGTGACCCCCATTGGCAGAACCCTGCCAGAACTCACCCGTCCCCACATCTTCCGGCAACCATGTGCAAACCTGTGCGAAGAGGGGTGGAGGCACATATGAAGCCAAAACGGCAAACAAGTGCACTGGTGGCATGTTTCGCTGTGTATTCGCGAATGTGCGCCATGGTGTCCGTTTGCTCTTGAATCAGCACAGTCTGCCGCGCTTCCACGGACAACTCCTTCTTGCACAAGTCGCCTGTTTGCGGCCTCACGTTGCTTCGGCCGTCGCAAGCATACGTCGTGATTGTTCACAAAGTCGTCCGCAGGCTGCTCATCTCTTGTCTTACGACATGACTGCCTGCACATGCCAAGGACTGAACATATCTTTCCGCCGTGTCTCCACAAGGCGTTCCGATCAAACACGCACCCGAAACACTTGATGTCACCTCCACTAGAACATCTTGCTGTTCCACAAGCCCTTCTGCCCATTTCACACACTTCAGGCGACCCCAGGGTTCCGTGAATCGGCCGTAGCCTTGATTATACCGTGGTTGTTTCCCCTGTCACACCTTTCTTCGGCTAAATGCTTCCAGAAAATTATGCATGAGGCCTTCATTTTCATGAAGGCTTCGCTAAAACAGCTGAATTGTGAACATGAAATCCTCCACGCTGTATATAAACACCAAGCTACTGGTAGCTGAGACTCAAACAGCAAGGTCTCGCTTGTAGTTTGACGCCGCGCAAATGCTTAGCTGTGAAGCCTTGGTGCCAACAGATGAAAGATTGCCGTGTGAAATCGACACGCTGCACCAATAGCGATTGGGAATTGGGAATGTGAGGTTCTATGCGAATCGCCGAATCGAACATCCGATGCCTTTGGAGGCGGCAAGAAAACTCGCGTTGCACATCAAACTCCAACGTCATTGAAGCACCATGAGTTGTTGCGAGACATGCGTGACCCGTGTCCGGCAATGACCAGGATCTACTTGTCTATGCCCCTGTGACACTTGTCGACAACTTCGCAGCGGTTGGGACGGAAAGCACTGTCCTTTCGCAAAGACTGGAAGTAGTCATGAACATTCAAGTTGCCCGGCCAGGAGCAGAAAAAGGTTTACGGGCTTGTATGCTGTCATCTGGACTGTCCTTTGCTGGTGTCTCTCCAGGATTTTGCAATGCAACGGTTGGTGCTGCGAAGAATAGTCTCGGCTCTTGATTCTTGCCCGTGCTGCGAGGCGTCTTATACCAACCTCCAGTGAAGCTTCAAAATAAAATCATGCCGACTTGCGACCTAATCTCTACCGTCAGGATGGACGAAAATCGCGCTAGTTCGCAAATGGGTATGAGAAGTATGTGGAAGCTCGCGTGTACAGGTCCAGCGCTGGTCCAGCCGTGGTTCACCTTGGCCCCATATGCTGTGTTTGCAAATGCCCTTTCTCGCATTGGCTCCAAGGATGCCCAGGGCGCTCACATGGTGTCTCATGGTGTCCCCAGTGTCAGCTTTCTTGCCGAAGACAATGGGGCCTCGTCCTCGGCCTTCCCGGTGTTTGAATTGGGGACGTCCAGTCCCGCATTTGCAGTTCCTTGTGCTGGAAACATTGCTATTGTGGCCACGGTACCTCATCAGCCGCGATGATGCTGACGCTGTCGAAATCGGTGGTCTGTCGGGCTGCTGCGTTTTCAGATCAGAGTCCGTCTGCGGCATCCAACATCGCAAGTCCGTCTCAGCTTGGCCGCGGTGGAAGATGATTTCGTCAGAGCTGCTGGCAAAAAGCTACGATGCGGCGTGGTCTGCGAAGGCACATGCCCTATAAAAGCACCAGCTGTCATCTGAATGAGGCGGTGTCCATGTAGGTCCGTGGAAGGTGGATTCCGCCATTGTTTGTTGGAACACACGGACTGGCCCCTGCCTGCGATCACTGATATCCATGCTTTCTTGCTGAGCTGGACCGAGAAGACTTGACAAAAAGACACAGGTTTAACGGCATGCCGCACGGCTGAAATAAATAAGCCAGGCAAGGCACCAAAGCCATCTATTGAAAAGCAGCCTTTGGAATCGTTTGCATCCTCCTATTGGAGATCATGGGGGTCGACTTCGGACCACATGCACGCTCACTTCTAACACCGTGCAGTCTCCCAATCAGTGATGGAAATCATGGAACAAGCTGAGCTGAGGGTGTCGCATGACTAGGACGGAGACGCCACAGTCGAAGCCGCCCCAGCACGTGCAGAGCCGGCTGCCACGCAGGAAGAACATCCAGAACCTCGTCAGGGGAGCGCTAGGACTTCGAGTTGAAGTTCGAGCAAGGTCTCACAAGGATCAGCGTCGCAGAGAAGTTGCACCCGGACCCACGACACAACAACTCTCACACCCGGACGTCTAAAGCGCCTTTCCAACATGCACGGGAGAACTGGTAGCAAAGCATAACTGCCATCGATATGCGGCATTGCATAAAGCTAAAGACGGCGCGTGACAACCTCGAGCCAGCACAGTGCAGTTGAAAATGACATCCAACTGCTCGTCGACTGGCATTGTCAAAAATCTGAGCCGGCCCACCGCAAAAAGACGTCCAGAAGTGCTGCAGTTGCTTTTGCCAATCTGCCGTATCCTGACCTCGCATCCCAGCTAGCCGTTGCATGCATGATCTGGTAGGAAGCGTGCAATTGACACGCATGGCTGCAGGATGCAAAGACAAACGAACTCGCCCGAATGCCAGACTCCGCACATCCTTGCGAGCTACCCAAATACCCAAGCCTTCTTTAGAGACCCTTATGGTCTGGATGGGCCGCATACTCGAACCCAAACGATACAGTCCCAGCTGCAAAATCTGAATGACGATATTCACGGCTTTTGGACACAACTGAACTTACTCGTTGGAACAATTTTCGCGCAACAGTTTGACAGATCGTTCTTCCGTTACAGCCCCCGAGATTGCAACATCGTTGCCGTGCCCTTCCTGTATTGCTTTCGCAGGCCTGGTCATTGCCCCTACTTGCAGGGGTGCAGGTTGTCTTGATTGACAACCATTATTCTGATAGGACATGTGCAGTTGACACCATCCAGTGCAGTTCCTCTCATCATGCTATATCATGCTTGCCCAACCAGCGTGCGTGCAGGCGGCTGGGTTGTTCAATCGCTCATATAGTTCCAGTATGTTGAAGTCTTTGCACTGGCCGGCGCTGTGCTTCAGCCCAAGCCATCCCCGTGTGGTCCGGCGGCCAGTCGCACTTATCGGCCCGAGTCCTGCAGAAGCTTTGCTCATCTTGTTGCACGGGTTTCTCTGGGTGCATGAGCTGCACGCTGCACGGCGGCCAGCGTTGGCCCATTCTTTGCCTTGCAGCCCTGCCTCTTGTAACAGTGTGCAGGAAACGTGTCGCACAGGCCGCTGCCGCGAGCACGGTGCTGGTCTCCCTGGCTCCCCCTCGCTCCGTCCCCTTCAATCCCGCTTGCTGCTACAATAAAACTCGGCGTGAACCAGTGTGCAGCGATCGTGTGCAACGCGGCTTTGTGTCCGGCCTTTGTCGACGTCATTGTCATGCTCATAATCCTGCCGGTGTTTCGATGTCTGCGCGCCTGCACAGCGCCGGCATGTTGCAGTTGAAGCGCCATAATGGGCCATTGCCATTATCGCCTGATCGACACGCGCCGAGTGATGCTGTCGTTGTTCCCGATGCGGCCGCCATACATTTCCGGATTTGTAATAGTTTTAGAATTTATGCCACAGCATCCGTTGAATCAGTGCGTCACGTGCAAATGCTGTTGGCCATGTGTACTTCGATTGCAATGCGGCGATGCATCTTCACGATTGACTCATTGACCCAAGACGGGCGTTCCAGGTCTGAGCGTCTAATCATTCACGAAGCTAGTGTAGTAAATCAGGGCATTTGTGGAACCACGTTCAGGTATGACAGTGTCGGGACTTCCAACCCCAATAATGAGCGACCACACACAATACACAAATGAGGCGGACCAGCACCCGGAACCCGATCCATTGAGTTCACGGCAAGCAGTGAGAACGGCACTGTTGAGAATGGCATCCTCGGTGCATGGTGGCGACACGCCTGTCCTCCTGTGTCGGCCTGCACAGTGCCGGGGGTCTAAGTCTCACGCGGGCTGAAGATCTAAAGCCGCAGTTTCACCAAGCAGCAACGTCGCACGCTGCCAGCTTGAGCCCTGCAGTGACAGTCTGTCCGTGACATGCCAACGTTTTGTAGCTCTGTACATAGCTGCCTGGACTGGTGGCGAGGGAAGTCGTTCCCCGCCGCCGCCGGCTCCGGCTGCTAGACGAGGAGTTGCAGTATGAGGGTAGTGATGTCACTAGTCACAGGACCCCGGTCAAGCTCGTGGTCTGACCCATGCAGAAAGCATGAACCACAAAAAATGAAAAGGAAACTGCATGGCAATTGCCACACACCGAACTGAAGACACTTTTCAGCAAAGTCAGAAATCCCTCGCAAAGGCCAGATAACATCTGCATCTCCAGAAAGTACATCTACATTTACAACACGACAAGACTGAAAAATGATAAGGTCGCTAACTTCCGATTATGACCCCACAACCCCAAGCGATGCCATGTTGCACTCCCATATGTGCTCGCCTTGTCGCATGCAGCAACTGCAGCGTTCATTGCGATGATGTCCGGCCTCGTTTGTCAAGATCCACAGATCACTCCTGATCTCGAAGATGATGCCGCTGTGAAGCTTGTCCTGTCCTGTTGGTTTTACACTAGGCTTTCGACGAGCAAGCGACGCGGCGTAGAGCTCGCAGGGCGGCGCCCACGGACTCCCAGCCTGACCGGTTCCGATTAAGCAGTCAATCACTTTCGGGGAAGAATTGGAAGAAGTCCTCCCAGAAAACAACCCCTTCTTGCTTGCTAGCGGTGTGGGGGCATGCACCGTCTCTCCCTGTCTTGCTTGCAGGTTGCTTGCTTGATTGCTAGGCATTTAGGCTTGGGGACACACGGACCCCACGCCCTGCAGGTCATCTGCTGTCACGCCAGAGCAGGCTACTGCGAGAAAGAATCGTGGCTGTGACTAAAACTGCAGCTTCCAGACAGACCTTCCGGTTAGTTAGGATGAGAAGGGAACTCCCTGTCTCTCTTTCTCTCTCTCTCTCTCTCTTTCTCCTTCTCTCTCTCTCTCTCTACCAGGCCAGAGAGGTCGGGCGGTCCCTCTCGCTCTCTCTCTGTCGCGCGGCAGTCTCCTCTCTTGCGCTCTCTCCCCCCAACTAGCGAAGCCACGACCGCATTTTTGGAACGCGCCGAGGATGGAATTGCAGAAGACAGGGCTAAGGTGGAAATCCTTAGCTTCGGCGATCTCAGTCCTTATGTTTCCAGCAGGTCAGCAAAGAGCAGCGTACACTGAGATCGGCACCCCTTGCATCAACAGGATTCCAAGATGAACTGCCTGGAGAAGTGTATACCCATGAATGCTTGCGGAGGTTCTAGATAAGCCGGTGGCCTGGCGCCAGTTCGCATGCTGCACAAAGCCATTTGCACATGCTCCCAAGCAAACGCTGTCCATACGCAGGCTGATCGAGTGGAGTCGAGAAAATAAATTCAACCTGACAGCCGCAAAAGCAGGAACACTCTGCGCAAAAGACCCTTTTGACCCTTTTGTCATTCCCCGCTTCCAAGGCAGATGCGAGCAGTGCCATCTGTCACCCGCAGCACCAGCACCAATTCCAGTCCCAAGAAGTGCAACGTCAGCCTGCAGGGCTTGACCTGAGCTTCAAATGGAAACCGACCCGCTCTTCCGTAGCCCTGCTAAGCTTGCCGCGGAAGAATTCTGAAAGAAGCTGCATGCCTGTCCCAAACACATGAACTCAGCTACGCTTGCATGAATAGCTTGTACTGTAGGCACGCCTGCTTGCCACAGCAGCTCAGAGCGCAAGGCGCTCAAAGCCGACGTGCTGGCAGTTGCATCACGGTCAATTTCTCGGGTGGCCTCAAGGACAGCGAAGGCAGCGCCAAGCAACGCATGTTGGACAGCGAGGCCAGCACGAATTCATGCAAGCATATCCTCCAGCTGCCAGCCTTGCCGCTGCCATTGAGCAGGATGTTGTGGGAGACCTCTCCGTGCGTATCGTGCGTTGCAGGCACGAGGACGGTGTCCAGTGCCGAGGGCCGAGCCATGTCCGGCTGTAGCCGTCTACGTGATGCGATGTCTATACATCCTGCTTGGAAAAAGGAGTCATGGCCCAAAGACCACGCTGCTCCTTCTCGAATCACTCGGGCAGTGGCGGCATCCAATTTCCCACACTGAGGCGTGACAAGATGTCTTGGCGGCCGTGTTGTACCTGATGCTGACGCGATGCTCTCGGCTCTCTCGGCCTCGGAACTGCATTGGACGGGGTCACGTGACCTCGTCCGCCGCGTTTGCACTCCTTAACAACCTGTACGCAAACGCAGGGCCGGGCCAGGCAGGATTGCGAGCGCTGCGGGTGCCTGAGAGTGATCTGCCATTCCTGGCATCGCCCGGAGGCCGCAGCTGCCAGGTTCCAGGCGACAGTGTTGGGCTCCAAGCCCTCGCGCTATCTTGCGCTACAAGCGCCGAAAGATTCCAAGGAAACCAGACACGGCACCTGCAGATGCATTCCGCGGAGGCCGCTCAAGGCGCTTTGCCATTGCCGACGCAAGGCGCTGTGCTTGATGAAGCCTTCACTCTCGGACATTCCACGTGCTGCAACATCTCACCCCGTGGGCATGGTCGTGTACGCAGAGATCACCAAACATGAGAACGTCAGGCTTCCCATGCCGTGCATGCCACCTGCACTAGCCCTCCCCCGTGTCAAAACATAGCAGCCTCCCCACGCTTTGGGACAGGACTTGTGCCTGGCGCCAGCCTCGCACGATCAGGGTAGGTGTGTATCATGGTGCCTCGTCATGTGAACACAGCTGGGCATCCCACTTCCATTTGACCTAGTCGCATGCTACGACCGCAGCTCAGTGCTGCCGGCCCCCGCGAGCGCGGGGGCTGCCATGGCGGGAGCAGATCGGAGCAGAGCGCGTGAAGCAAAGGCGCTGGAAGCCACGAGGCCACGAGAGGGCGGGAGCGAGATGGAGCTCTTCTAAAGATGGCAGGAGTAGGTGCTTTTGCCGGCAAATCAACACTGGGCGGATATTTAAAACGGCGTGCCTGGCTGCTAGGAGCCATTGAACCGCAGCCGGTGGGCTTGCGGGTGAAAGGAACTCACCCATCAGCCTGCCTTTGCCTTTGCCTTTGCCTTGCCTTTGGCTTTGGCTTTGGCCTGCAAGAGGCGATTTGCATGCCCTCCTCTCTTCAAAGCACATATGTTTTCATATAAGCACATGGAAAGATCACTGGCCTTTGCTTTGCCAGCCGCCTTTGGCTTGGCACCTGAAGCGGAACGCAATCCAACCGCGGGCTCTTTCACCAGGCTAGAGGGCGCACCCCGCTCTCTCTCTCTCTCTCTCTCTCTCCTGGGCATGGGGGACGGTCAAGGTGCGCCCGCTCTCTCTCTCTCTCTCTCTCTCCCTCACTCTCTTTCGCCCCTTCCTTCTCTGTTTGGTTCAAGGTCTATGAAGGCCTCGTCCCCGCACGCTCTGCGGCAAGTCCTTCGTCCCTGTGACACTTCCCCCAACTGGCCGTGACTCGCGTGGTAATGAAGTTTTGGCTGTGCGTGACCAACACCAACACGCTAAGAAACACACCGCGACTAGCCAACCCCCCACATTCGTTCAAAGTATTTCGAGTCCTCAAATTTGAGCATCATCCTTGAACCGCTCACGGCTGAGCCAAAATGGTGTCCGCTCTCTCTGTCTCTCTTTCTTTCATTGGGCGTAGGGGACGGGTAAAGTCCCCTGGCCTCTCTCCCTCTCACACGCACAACCTACACACCCACACAAAGAACCTGTGCACTGTTTGTCAAATGTCCCGGCACAAGATCCTGCAGGGGACAACCTCGTCTCCAACAGAAGTAGCGGCACGTGCAACGCCCATGAGCGAAGAAAACTCGGTGCTGATTGAGGAAAGCTAGGTTCGCTGAAATTTGCCATAGCCATCTGCTGCATGCCATTGTGGCTGGAGGTGTGGCATTTCGAGGACGCAAGATATTTCCAGATGTTCGTCGCAAACTCGAGCTTACGCTTGTCAGAGGTATGCGAGGAAGACATAAATGCAATTCCCCCACTTACCGAATGCGACATACTCACACAGTCTATCACACTATGAGGCGCACACCGCCGAGTGAAAAGACCTCAACGTCGAAGCCGAGCTTCGCTTTGAAGAGCTTCAAGACAGCCTGGCAGTCCTGGAAACAACAGTGTCTCTTGGAAGGTCAATCTTCAGTTCGGATGCTAACAGGTCCTCTTCCGGCCCGCGCAAAACAATGTCGTTCTCCGGAACACAGTTGGCCTTTGCATGCCATCTGCAGAAGCGCATTTTCTGATGTTGGCAAACGCTGATAAGAAATTCTTGCTCCTTCGCCAGCCTGGACGATGCCTCGCTTGGATGGCCCGGCACCTTCCCAGGAGCACTCGATCCAGTGGTTGACAACCTGCGCCGAAGAAAGAAGCACAAACCCCAAGCATTTCCATGCATAGAACGTGCCACCTAGAGCGAGTTTCAAAAACGCGAAAGTCAAGACCCCGTCCTTGACCTTCTTCCCGTCATCCCAGTAGCCAAGGGCATTCTTTCCTTCGTCCTGAGGGCATGAGCGCGCACAGCGCTTCTGGCTGCACTGCATCGGCCACATGTTTATGACCCCACCGTACCCTACTTGGCCTGGCAGGCCTGAAGATTACACCTGGAGCTTTGTTCAAACCTTCAGCAGATACCCCCCACTCTTGCATATAATCAGCTCCCCAACACCTCCACCTCCTGTCCATGCTCGTCCGCATCCCTCCTCCTCCTCCTCCTCCTCCACTGCCTCCTCCTCATCCAAGTAGCGCCACCACGACCGACCTAGCTTAGCTTGGAGCGCAGCATGCAGCGGCAAGCAGCTCGTAAATAAAAGATGCCCCCTGTAAGCACGGGGCTGTGCGGAGATTGCAATCAAGCGACAAGCCCAACCGCTGGAAGTGCGCTCTAACTGGTACCGAATGGTGCAGATATCTAGGCGTTGAAAACACAAGGCAGCTCCTAGCCGGGTGCACCCTGATAAATCGGAACTCATAAGAACCGACTGAGTCGCAAAAACGCCATCACCAAAACCGACGGATTATCGGGCGCTTTTCGATAATGTTTGAGCATCGTGCGCGACCTTTTGCTCAAGCCGCTGTTGCAAGCATCATGCGGCACCATGTTTGCCAAATCGTGTTGGGTGCATTTCTCGTTGGTGCTCCAACTGTTCAGGTTCCATACTTCTCGAACAGTGTCCACAAACCTGCTGCATCAAAATTCGTGTATCTCTGCTGCTTGTTTCGTCTCGATAGGCAAAGTATCAACTACAACTCCTGGAGGGGCGGCTGAGTTCGATAAATCGCAACACTCACGAAGCGCGGGCTTCCATAGCAGGAATACCCCAGAATCAGCCTGCGTAGCAGTCTTGCGTACTAGGACGCTGCCACAGCCATTGGCCTCTTTCAGCGTGACCTCGGAAGCTGCCGGATCACAGGTTGGCGCATCCTAGCAGATGCCTTGAGACCCAATCGTAGTGAGGCTGCAGCATCCTTTCCCAATGATATCGTTCCGACGATGTGCTTAGCTTTTATCAAGCCTTTGGCGATGTCACCTTTGGCACCTGTTTGTCTCGAAGGCCACAGCGTGCTACCAAAATGGTACCTGCCTCGACATTCCACCCACTCATCCTCGATCTTCACCTGATGTAGCTCAGCAGGCCAAAAACTTGCTGGGAATTGGTTCAAACAATGCTCGTGCTCCAACCTGATGATCTGCCGGCAAATGGGCAGCAATGGACGACTTGCCGAACGACGTAGCCGTGACCTGCAGGTTTGACACTATGAGAGAATATGCTGAGCTCCGCGACCTTGCCAGCTGCTGCCTTCCAGGCAACGATTGGTGCCAGCATAGGGCTGCACAAACGGACCTTGCGATGGCACAACGCAACGGTGTAGACTCGACCAGTATGTGTCGCAACTGTGCGTCGGGCGGTCGCCGAAGGTTCCGGAATCTTCAGTTCCTCGGTTCGCCGGTTCGTGCAGCATGAGATTTCTGAGCTTCGGCGGCTTTCGCAAGGGCATGCAGGAATATCCCAGTTCCCCGACCAGAAACTAGCTGACCAAAAACAATGACAATTATTTGTCGGGTTTGTCGTTCGTGGCTGCATGCCCGGCCAATCTTCAATAATAAGGGGGCCCCTGCTAGTTCAAGATGTTAAGGTCGGGCTGGAGCGTCGGTTAGCTGGTCAGTGGGCGAGTGTGATCTGGCAGAAATGCAAAAGCATGAGCAAGACAGGGTTCAATGATCTCATGATTTGTCCAAGGCCAGGTCCACTTTGGACGGCAGCTCTTTCGTAACAGGGTGGATGAGGCCACGCATCCTGGCCAGAGGGAAAGGTTCCAAGAAACGTATCCGTGGCTCGAGGAAGCCTTCGGGGAATCGTGACCTTGAGCCGCTGGATTCCGTGTGCCTGCAAGGGATTCTGCCTCCTTCCTTCGAGTCCCTGCATGCAGCATCATGTAGCTATGCACCGGCCTCTGGCATAAGTCCAGCCGCACTAAGGTCCTGCTGAGATGCAGTGAGCAGAACCTGGTCCGACCGTCCGACCTGGTAGCCCTTGCACTGCCGTCCTGCGGCATCTCGATACCCAAGTCTTTAGCATCCGGCGCTGCAAGATCAGCCACCTCGGCCAAGAGTATCTATCAGCTTCGAATCGTCGGCAACGGGTGAGGGACCTTTTTGCGCATCTCATCTGGAAGACCGGACAAGTATTCACAAAGAAGCCGCTCCTGCTCGCGGCAGATCGAGAATCCACTGGCGAAGCACCATATGCCAAAGAATAGTGTGGGCCTTGCGGGCATTCTGGTAGCCCTGCCACACATTGTGGGGCACAAACAAGGGCCCACCTGCATGCACACGCTTTGTACGAGACAACTGTCGCCTTGGCGTAAGATGCGCTGAACGGCTCATACTCCCTCATGCATGTACAAAGCGAACTAGCTGAGAACACCCGTTTGTCTTCAGTGCTTGGTCGCTCCGCAGAGGAATTGCTGGATTCGCTCTGAGCCTCATCGTCCGCCCCGTCCCTGCCTTCGTTAGGGCACTTGCTGCCGTTCTTGTAGAAATGGCTGTGTGCATCTTTGCCGCAGTCCTGCGTCTGTAGTGTTTGCGAGCGGGTAGCTTGGCACATCGCAGTGATGCGCTATGGCTAGCGACTACACACTGCTAGTTGACGAGTAGGCCTCGAGGCAGAATGAGCAGAAGCCACACTTGCACGCGGAGCACGATATTGCACTGCCTTTCGACACGCTACTTGGAGAAGCAGGCTTCATTGTCTCACAAAGATCAGGCCAAGCACAGTTGTCGTAGTCCAAGAAGGCCATCTTGCACCGGGGGCACTTCAAAGTAAATATGTCATCGATAATCTTCAGGCGATGCTTGTCCAGTTCCAACTGCTCTCCGCCTGAGAACTACATTCATGTCAGCATGCAAGGACGCAGTCGTTGCAGACGCCAAAACCTGAGACTTTGGCTGCCCGTGGCTTTCGCCAGTTTTTCCTTCAACTCCTCTATCTTCGCTGTGTTCTCTTTTTCGAACTGTTCTTGGATACTCTGCTCGGCGACTTTGATCCGTATCTGCAGATATTCATCGAAGACATCCTGGCAGCTCTGGGATCTCTGGTCTGGCGGAGCAAAGTGCTTCAGAATGACCGGTCCTGCGGAACGAACGCAGCCAGCACTCCATCTCCGAAAGGAGTATCTGAATCCTGGACTTTCGTGCAAAAAAAAAAATCTACACACTGCAAACTGCCCGAACACACACAGGCAGTCCTA